AAAAGTCTGATGCTTGTGCAGCAAAGCAGAGCCCTAACCTGAGAGGAAAAGATCATGCAGGCTAATATTATTGCACTGTCTCTGAGTTGGTTTCTCTTCGCAATATTTATTAACCTATTTGTATGATTTGTTCTGTAAATTGCCATTCATATTATTTCTCAGTCTTTATCACTGAGAGGATGAAGAGACTGATGTCTGGTTCTTTAGGTTCTGACGGGTCTGCGGTTCCTCTCCTGACCCACTGTGCACCCTGAATATCGCCGACACAGTTTTTTAATTCCCCTATCAAACTTCTCTGTGATTGTTTAGCCTAGAATGTGCATCTTCCAATGTTATGTTATTTGATGTTATTGTTACAGGTCAGTTTTCTAAACTACAAAGAAATGACTGTTAGGGATGCTCCAATATGAAAAATTGGATTGATATTGATATCTGATAGTAAACTGGTGTTATACCAGATTTACCAATATTTTATTTTATATATGTTTTTAATCCGATTACTCGATTAATCATCAGAATAATTAATAGATTACTCAGTTACTGAAATATTTGTTTACAGCAACGCTACTATCCATCCAGTTATCACTAGAAAATATTTATTGACTTTCTCTTTTATCTTGTCACATATGCTGAGCTGACAGCGCCTCTTAATGCTCATTTGTACTCAATGCATGTCAGCTATTCTGACAGAATAACGGCTCAAATTTAAGTTAAAGAAGGTCAGTGTTAGACCCGCCCAAAGCCCGCCCTCCACTTTCATTGGGGAATTATTTTATGGTGACATGACAGGAACTGCAACCAGGTGATAATAATGATCACAACAATCAAAAGCATATTTAGTAACTGTCTTGTCTGGCTGCTAAGTTTCCATTTTCATAATGTAAACTTAGTAAATGACTTATTAACTAACTTGTGTCTTAAATAAACTCGTTAAATAATTTTATCATTGTACATTTTCACCTTTCATATTTAATCTTCCAAATTGTCCAATATTCATGTCAAATATTTTCAATTGGTTCATTTTGCCATTATTTTCTGCATGTGTGCGATTAACAACAATCACCCACTGCTACCAATTCTGCTGTGAATCCCAGAAAGTAAAGGCTGAGATTTAGTTGTGCTTTTGAACGTTCTTCCTCTCTCTACATGGAGGAAGAAGATTTTATGTAATATTTGTCAGGAAGCTACTAGATTAAGCGATTGCCATCTTATTTGCTCACCTGGAGATCCTTAATATCATATTTTGACTCAAGTCTAGTTCCAGTCTGGTCATTAGAATGGAGCTATGACCAGAATGAAACTAGTTCTGATCATAGTTCCATTCTAGAACATCCAATGTTCTAGAACATAGAACGTTAACTTCTTAGTTGAGTTAATGTTCATTCTTGTAAGATTGTAATTTTCGAATAACCTAAGAAAATCCTGTTTCGATACATGAAGGCATCAAGTGGATTTCTTGTTTGATTGACATTTAAAAAACTTTTTTTTTTGTCTATTTCCCAGATCTTCCACAATGTTGTGTGTGTGAAGAAGAGGAGATTCTCAATGACACAAAACCACAGAGGAACCAACTCATCTCTCATGGCTCTGCAGAAACTGAGAACCAGGATCAGGAAGGAAGCAATTCTGAAGACCCAGGAAAAAAGAGAAAGGAAGAACAGAAACCAAAGGAGAGATATGAGAAAACCAAACAGCAGAAAGACAGAACTGATGCTGAGAAACAAAAACCGCAGAAGAAAAACTCATAGAGGGCAAAACATATATTCTTGTAAAATTTGTGATAAAACCTTTTCTCTAAACAGTAACTTGAAGACACACATGAGAATTCACACAGGAGTAAAACCTTTCACTTGTTCAACCTGTGGAAAGAGTTTCAATGAAAGAGGGACTTTAACTAAACATATGAGAATTCACACAGGTGAGAAGCCTTTCTCATGTGGGACTTGTGGAAAGAGTTACAGACAAAAAACGAATTTAACTGCGCATATGAGAATTCACACAGGTGAGAAGCCTTTCACTTGTGGGACCTGTGGAAAGAGTTTCAATGTAAAAACGGCTTTAAACTCAGCATATGAGAATTCACACAGGTGAGAAGCCTTTCTCATGTGGGACCTGTGGAAAGAGTTACAGACAAAAACCGAATTTAACTACGCATATGAGAATTCACACAGGTGAGAAGCCTTTCACTTGTTCAACTTGTGGAAAGAGTTTCAGTGATGGAGGGACTTTAACTAGGCATATGAGAATTCACACAGGTGAGAAGCCTTTCTCATGTGGGACCTGTTGACAGTTTCAGGATGAAACAACAATTACTTAAACACATAAAGATTCATATGGGTGTGAAACAGTGACGTGCGGTGAGGCTTTACGATGTATAAATACAGACACCATGTATGTTATTGGTTACTCAGAAATTTTGCTCATGCATACAACGCTGGAGGGCAGAAAGACCGTTCTTTTACACGTCATCCATAGCTGTAGTAACCAGGTTAAACTTAGAAATGTAGGTATTGTTTCGTGTTATGATCCACAGCAAAGGGAGAAACCTAAACCACTTTCTCACTCTGCATCACCCAAGCTACATGCAGACTCGTTGCAATAGCAACTGATAACAATGCCATGTTTTAGGATTTAACATAAAAATAAAGAATTTTGGTCACAGAACAGAACATTGAGTTTTTTGCAGTAGTTTTGTTTTAGTCTTAGTGTTTATTAATAAATCATTGCTGTGGTAGATTAGCTAACATTTTCTACTTTACTGAATTCTTTAGACATACAGACTGTGCCCACAAAATGCACATTTCATTAAAAAACTAAACAAAACATGTTTTTTCCCATCTTACCTTTACTTATAAATTAAATCCATGCCAATTCTGCACAAAAATATCCATTCATCCAAAGCCAAGTCGATGCTCTGAATGTCTTGTACTAAGATAGACTTGAGGTCCATTTTGTCTACCAGCTTTGTTTTTCTAAAATCAGTTTTTAGTTTTATTTCTCAGTCACATTTGTACTTAAGGTTCCCATCAGTGTCCCATTAGATACTGAAGTTAAAGAGGGGAATGTCTTCAGGAAGGTTTAATTTCTGTGGATTTCAGGTGTCTTGCAGTTCTGTGTCATGTAGTTATTGAGTTCAGCTTTTACATTGTTGACTTTTACATGTATGACTTGAAATAAAGTATTTTACATTTTAAAGCAGTGTATTATTCTTTTTCCCATAAATTGCTGGGTTTCAGATGATGTAGCACCGATGCCTTACCATGGAGGTGGGGGTCAGAAAGTAAATGCAGCACATTTAGGCATTTTGACTTAAACATCAAAATGTCTTAATTCTGTGCCATGTGTGGTTGTTCCAACCGTTCTAAAAGAGAAAGAAAAACTTTATCTTTGTGTTTTGAAGGTAGTCGGTCACAAGGAAGTTAATTTAGAAAAAACTCACCTAACAAAGAGAAAAGTGGATCAACAATCTACAGCTAAAACCAGGAGGTGCAGGAAGTAATAATGCGGGAGTTTGCAGAGCCACTTTTCTAACATCATTTAAATTGTATTTTCAGATATTTTATTGGATGGTAACTTAGAAAGACAAGCATTCATATGCAGGCACATGCAGAGGGGGTCTGGAGAGGGCTTGAGCCCTGCCCCTTTTACCCTTGATGCCCCCAGAGCCCTTTTTGAGTTTATTTTGTTTTCAACTTGAGTCTTTTGTGTCAGGAGGCCTTCTTGTGCCTCTAAATATAACACCTAGCAAAAACTAATGAGTCTGGCTGCCCTTGGTCTAATTATGAGGATTCCCAGTCCTTCTGCCTCCACGTTGTTCAGACACCGGGTCCGTGGCGAGGAAGAGCGGGGCTGAACTGTGACCTCTAACAGTCAAATTTTGGGCAATAATTAATTTTTCTAACGTACACTTGTGAATAAAAATATAGGTCTGATGTTGAAGTTATAAAACCAGTTTCTATTTATATTCTGTAATAATGTCTGGAGGGCCCCTACCAGCAGCTACTGGGTTCTCTTTGTTTACCTTGATATCTCAGCCTTATAATTCTAGATCTCAGAGGTGCTGAAATCAAATTAATGACATGTGAGAAGTTAACTGTTTATATATGAAGGTTTTCCTGATTTACTTTTTGTTTCAAACAGGTTTTATTTCAGTCTCTATGTTTATGTAAATCGATTCTGTCACAGTCTTTGACTAAACAGAAAAATAGAAAAAGACCATCATTATGATACTTTATCATCTAAAATTATAGAAAAGTTTCAATGATTTTTTTTATCTGAAATTCAATCCACATCATCAAACCATTTTGTAAGGAGAAAATTTATTTAAAACCATGTCAAAGAAATGCATCCATTTCTCCAAATCATTAAAATAAAATATCTACAAAGGATAAAAACACAATAAAGACTCCAAAATTTCAGAAGTCTAAATCTCAAAGCATTCAAACTCATTGTTTGTTAGACGATCTCTCCCTCAGTCTCATTCAATAAAATGGAAATATAAAACTGGCAGAATAAAATTTTTACGAATTTCAGCTAAATATCCAGATTAAAATGCTTTGTAAGCAAAACCTGCTACATTTAAGAATTTAAGTCGGTTGCAATTACTCCACTTCCAAACAGCAACTTACTGAGAATCTTGAGGTTCACATTTTGCCATCAAACCTGTGCGAGTTCTCATGTGAACAGTTACATTTATTTAGAGTGAACCTTTTTCTACTGAATCTACAAAATAAAAGCTTCCAACCCGTGTGAATCTTCATGTGATGACTTAAACTGGATCTATACACAAAACATTTTCCTCACTTTTCACTAAGGGTGCAAACATGACATGGTGAGCTGGTCTAATAGTCAAACCTCACAGCGGAGAACAGAACAGTGGCTGAGCTCAATAACTTTGAGGAATCAGATCAGCTTCACATGCATGTATCTGCTGCTCACAAATGTCCCAAAATTAAGGAAATCAACATTTATTAATCAGCCAGCTGATAAATCAATGCAAGCTACTTCTCACCTGTGTGAATTCTGTTGTGAGATGTTAAGTACTGTTTTTGAGTGAAACCTTTTCCACAAATCCCACATGAGAAAGGTTTCTCACCTGTGTGAATTCTGTTGTGAGATGTTAAGCACTGTTTTTGAGTGAAACTTTTTCCACAAATCCCACATGAGAAAGGTTTCTCACCTGTGTGAGATCTCATGTGAACAGTTAAACTTTGTTTATGAGGGAAACATTTTCCACAGGCCTCACATGAGAATGGCTTCTCACCTGTGTGAATTCTGATGTGAGAAGTTAATCTATGTTTTTGAGTGAAACCTTTTCCACAAATCCCACATGAGAAAGGTTTCTCACCTGTGTGAGATCTCATGTGAACAGTTAAACTTTTTTTATGAGGGAAACATTTTCCACAGGCCTCACATGAGAACGGCTTCTCACCTGTGTGAATTCTGTTGTGAGAAGTTAAGTTGTTTTTTTGAGTGAAACTTCTTCCACAAATCCCACATGAGAAAGGTTTCTCACCTGTGTGAGATCTCATGTGAACAGTTAAGCTTTGCTTTTGAGAGAAACTTTTTCCACAGGTCTCACATGAGAAAGGTTTGTCACCCGTGTGAATTCTGATGTGATTAACTAATTTATATTTCCTCCAGAAACTTTTCCCACAGGTCTCACATGAGAAAGGTTTCTCACCCGTGTGAATTCTGATGTGATTAACTAACTTATGTTTCCTCCGGAAACTTTTCCATAAGTCTCACAGGAGAAAGGTTTCTCACCTGTATGAATCGTCATATGAGCAAGTAATTGACATTTAGACACAAAATTTTTTCCACAGATTTTGCATGTGTAAGATTTCTCACCAAAGAAAATTCTCTTGTGTCTGTTTAAAGAGCCGTTAGACGGAAACCTTTTCCACAAGCTGGACAAGTGAATGGTTTTTCACCTGTATGAATTCTCATGTGATCAATTAAACGACTCTCTTTAGGGTAACGTTTTCCACAGGTGGAACATTTGAAATGTTTCTTAGCCATGTGAGTTTTCTTGTGATTCATCAAGGAACTATTTTGAGAAAAGGTTTTATCACAATTTGACAAGAATATAGATTTTGGTCTGGTTGAGCTTTCATGTGCGTTTCTTGTTCTGAAGTCTCTGTTGCGTTTTTCTGCTGTTTGTTCAAAATGTCATCAGTTTCCTGTTTCATCACAAGATTCTCTTCATCCTGACTGATGGAAAGTTGCTCCTCTTCCTCTTTGATCTGCAGAAGTTCTGGTTCCTCTTGTTCCTGTTTCATCTGCAGAGGTTCTGGTTCCTCTTGTTCCCGTTTTATCTGCAGAGGTTCTGGTTCTGGTTCCTCTTGTTCTTGTTTCATCTGCAGAGGTTCTGGTTCCTCTTGTTCCAGTTTTATCTGCAGAGGTTCTGGTTCCTCTTGTTCCAGTTTCATCTGCAGAGGTTCTGGTTCCTCTTGATCCAGTTTCATCTGCAGAGGTTCTGGTTCCTCTTGTTCCAGTTTTATCTGCAGAGGTTCTGGTTCCTGTTGTTCCCATTTCATCTGCAGAGGTTCTGGTTCCTCTTGTTCTTGTTTTATCTGCAGAGGTTCTGGATGATCTTGATCTGAAGTGAAGTTTCTCTCCAGGTTTCTGAGCTCATTTAGATCCTCCTCCTTTTTGCACACACTGCATTGTGGGAAATCTGGAAAAAAAAGTCAAAATGTGAGGTCACACAAGAACCCTTCAGTTTAACAAAAACTAAAATGAAAATGTTCTTCATCAGGGGGCGTGCTGTAGTAGCACAACCCACGATTCGAGGCCTTCAGTCCTCCACACGGCCGTCACGGGTTTGATTTCCGTATCCGACTTTATTTGCCGCATGTCTTTCCTTACTACATTCCTGTCAGCCTTCTTTCTTATAAGGGACACTAGAGCCCACAGAAACCCCCAGGAGAGGAAAATGTAAAGATATTCTCAGCAAAACATTACAAAATGAAATCTCTTCTATCGTCTTTCAGAGAGATTGTTATTTACCTTATTTAGAATAAACAATGTCTGCATGTGGTTAATAATTTTAAACAGCAATTAAACTTTAGTGCCGTCAAATGTGCCAACATTTGGAAATATGCAGTCTGGCTAGCTGACGTTAACTCCCCTTCAAGATTCGCTTCTCGCCAACAGGGACGTTACACCATATTCTGTAACCACTGCACATTGTGACTGTAGGAGGCGCTGTTGCAGGTTTACATCATACTTTGCTATTCTTATGGACACAGAATATGATGGCGCTTATCAAATAATGGTCCCACACTGTAACTTACAGTAAAGTACTAAATATTTAAACTGAACTGTTTCTATTAACTCTGCTTGCTAAGTCAATATCTGACCATTAGTATTATGACATTTCTTTTTAGTTAAATTAAACGGCCCTTTAAATAGTTTTTACATAGTGTTATAGTCAAGACCATCTAAGCAGAGACCAAGACCCAGCCGCCACATGACAATAAAATGTGAAATATTAGCAAAAGTGCTAATCAAATTGGTCTGAAAGATCCACATTCCCATAAAAACAAATCAATTTAACCAATATTATCAATTCAAACTCTTTGTTCTACTTTGCTCTGTGCTACAATCCATGGAAGTCTCATGCCAACCCTAAAAGTTAACGCCCTGGGCGGTTGCCCATATTGCTCATATCAGAAACCACCACTGTCTGCACTATTAAACATAGCAATTAAGGCAATGCACTAGTGGTAAACAACGCTCCATCATGAACACAGACCAAGGAGCAACAAGCAGAAATAACCAAACACTGTGACAGTTCTCACTTTTTCTCCTGCTGCATGAAGCCAGGCAGCACAGAACTATCACAGAGCAATGAGCATGCTCTGTGTGCTCTGGTTTTATTGATTCACCAATTAAATTAATATCAATGTATACAATCAATTAAAATAATGACAGCTACTGCAGCTGTTTTATACCTATCCGGTGCAAGATGATCTTGGGTATCCGGGTAAAATCCATCAGTCTGCGCTGATCGTCCATCTCTTCCTCCATCTTAACGTTGATTTCTTTCCACTCTGTGAATGTTTCTTCAGCAGGAGTTTCCTGCTGCTTGATAAACTCTCTGAGGCTGAACTGAAGACATTTTCACTGAAAACACAGAAATATTTAACTAAACTGCAAAATAGTCTTCAAGAGGAAAAGTAAAGCCAGACATTTGCTCTGTTTTTATTTTTCACGTGTTTCACTGTTGCTGTGCTGAAGAAACTGGAAGTGATTAGTTTGGCTTTAAATTTTCTGCTGAGTCTCTTCTTTTAAAGTCCTGGAGGGCTGATGCCCTGAAACCTTTAGCTGAGCCTCTGCTGCACCACCTGAATAGAGTAATTAGGTCATTAAGGCTCTGCAGATCTGATCCACACAAGGAGGAGGTAATTATGGTGATTTCATTGCAGTGTTTTGTACCTGTGGCTCATCTAAACACTGCAGGTCACCTTGAGGACTGGAGTTTGACACCTGTGGTTTAGTTACAATAGATCAGTCTGGAGAAAACACTGATGATGTTTTGTTGTTCTTGCAATAACTAATAAAGTCCTGATTCTGTGAAAGTCACATATATATTTTGTATTTTTATAAAGATATTTCAGATAAGTATAAAGTTAACCAGGATGCTTTTATTGTTCTGGTGGTTTAAATTTAAAGCATTTTGTTAATATTTAGAGGTAGATTTATTCAACCTTCCTAATTTTACTTTAATAAATTACTGCACTTTTAGCTGCTGTTCAATCTGCAAGGTTTCTGCAACCTGGATCTCTGGAGACTCAAGAGGCTCTTTGGCTCATTTATTATATCAAACTATAAAATATTGATCTGTCGTTTTGTTTCATTCTTTTTAAGTGTCGTCATGAAACCGATCACATTGGCCCTTGTGGTAAATTTGGCCTCTAAACCAAACTCCTTATTGGTATCAATATTTTCAGTAATACTCTTTAAAATACCAGAATATTCACATAACTGTTATACTTTTGTCAGTCTGAGGAGACACTGAATATTGAATTAGGTGTTATGATCAGTTACTCAGTAATTCACCAAATACTTCAAAAGAAAATACAGAGGAAGAACATTGTTCCAGCAGGAATATTAAATAAATAGAATGATAAACCCTGACCTTTACTATTATATAAGATCAAAATATAGTTTATGTTCCATGACTCCTTCACTTCTAACTCACCAGTTTAAGTACTGAAGGTTGTTTAAAATGATTAATTGTACTTGCTTTGAATTTTAAAGTTTTGATTATTTAGGTTCATTCTTTGTTAAATTATGGCTCATTTTGTTTTATCTCTTATTAGTATAAATATAGAACTCAGTCTGTTAAGTGTTGAATGAAAAGAATATCGACTTTATTAGAATGTATGCAACGTTGAGGAAGAGATGATCTCTGTGGACTGCTGCTGTTTATGTATATGAAGGTTTTCCTGATTTACTTTTTGTTTTAAACAGGTTTTATTCCAGCCTCTATAATTATGTAAATCTAGTCTTTCACACAGTTTTCTACTAAACAGGAAAAAAGAAAAAGATCAGCATTATAATAGTTTATTTTCTAAAATTATATAAAAAGTTTCAATCTGAAATTTAATTCATATCATCAATACATTTTCTAAGCAGGAAAATTATTAAAACCATGTCAAAGAAATGCATCAATTATTCCATATCATTGAAATAAAATAAATAAGTACAAAGAATAAAAACACAATAAAGTTTCCAACATTTTAGAAGTCTAAATCTCAAATCATTTAAAGTCATCGTTTCTTTAGAGACAATCTCTCCCTCAGACTGATTAAATAAAATAGAAATATAAAACTGCCAGAATAAAATCCAAGTTTGTTGCAATTACTCCACTTCAAACAGCAACTTACTGAGAATCTTGAGGTTCACATTGTGCCATCAAACCTGTGCAAATTCTCATGTGAACAGTTACATTTGTTTTGAGTGAACCTTTTTCTAATGAATCTACAAAATAAAAGCTTCCAACCCGTGTGAATCTTCATGTGATGACTTAAACTGGATCTATACACAAAATATTTCCTCACTTTTCACTAAGGGTGCAGACATGACATGGTGAGCTGGTCTAATAGTCAAACCTCACAGCGGAGAACAGAACAGTGGCTGAGGTCAATAACATTGAAGAATCAGATCAGCTTCACATGCATGTATCTGCTGCTCACCAATGTCCCAAAATTAAGGAAATCAACATTTATTAATCAGCCAGCTGATAAATCAATGCACAGCTACTTCTCACCAGTGTGAATTCTGTTGTGAGAAGTTAAGTAGTGTTTTTGACTGAAACCTTTTCCACAAATCCCACATGAGAAAGGCTTCTCACCAGTGTGAATTCTCCTGTGACGTTCTAAACTTTTTTTATAAGGGAAACTTTTCCCACAAATCACACATGAGAAAGGCTTCTCACCTGTGTGAATTCTGTTGTGAGAAGTTAAGTGTTGTTTTTGACTGAAACCCTTTTCACAAATCCCACATGAGAAAGGTTTCTCACCTGTGTGAACTCTGATGTGAATAGCTAACAGAGGTTTCCTCCGGAAACGTTTCCCACAGGTCTCACAAGAGAACGGTTTCTCACCTGTATGAATCTCAATATGAGCAAGTAAATGAGATTTAAACAAAAAACTTTTCCCACAGGTTGTGCAGGTGTAAGGTTCTCACCCGAATGAATTCTCTTGTGTCTGTTTAAAGAGTCGTTTAGATGGAAACATTTTCCACAAGCTGGACAAGTGAACGGTTTTTCACCTGTATGAATTCTCATGTGATCATTTAAACGACTCTCTTTAGGGTAACTTTTTCCACAGGTGGAACATTTGAAAGGTTTCTTAGCCGTGTGAGTTTTCATGTGATTCATCAAAGAATTATTTCTAGAAAAGGTTTTATCACAAATTTGACAAGAATATAGATTTTGGTCTGGTTGAGCTTTCATGTGCGTTTCTTGTTCCGAAGTCTCTGTTGAGTTTTTCTGCTGTTTGTTCAAAATGTCATCAGTTTCCTGTTTCATCACAAGATGCTCTTCATCCTGACTGATGGAAAGTTGCTCCTCTTCCTCTTTGATCTGCAGAGGTTCTGGTTCCTCTTGTTCCTGTTTCATCTGCAGAGGTTCTGGTTCCTCTTGATCCAGTTTTATCTGCAGAGGTTCTGGTTCCTCTTGTTCCAGTTTTATCTGCAGAGGTTCTGGTTCCTCTTTTTCCAGTTTTATCTGCAGAGGTTCTGGATGATCTTGATCTGAAGTGAAGTTTCTCTCTGGGTTTCTGAGCTCATTTAGATCCTCCTCCTCTTTGCACACACTGCATTGTGGGAGATCTGGACAAAAAAGTCAAAATGTGAGGTCACACAATGAACTCTTCAGTTTAACAAAAACTGAAATGAAAATATTCTTCATCAGGGGGCGTGCTGTGGTAGCGCAACCCACGATTCGAGGCCTTCAGTCATCCACACAGCCGTCACGGGTTTGATTTCCGGACCCGACAATATTTGCCGCATGTCTTTCCTTACTACATTCCTGTCAGCCTTCTTTCTTATAAGGGACACTAGATCCCACAGAAACCCCCAAGAGAGGAAAATGTAAAGATATTCTCAGCAAACATTACAAAATGAATCTCTTCCATCGTCTTTCAGAGAGATGTTATTTACCTTATTTAGAATAAACAATGTCTGCATGTGGTTAATTTTACCAGCAATTAAACTTAATGCCGTCAATGTGCCAACATTTGGAAATATGCAGTCTGGCTAGCTGACGTTAACTCCCCTTCAAGATTCGCTTCTCGCCAACAGGGACGTTACACCATATTCTGTGACCACTGCACATTGTGGACTGTCGGAGGCGCTGTTGCAGTTTACATCATACTTTGCTATTCTTATGGACACAGAATATGATGGCGCTTATCAAATAATGGTCCCACACTGTAACTTACAGTAAAGTACTAAATATTTAAACTGAACCATCTCTATTAACTCTGCTTGCTAAGTCAATATCTGACCATTAGTATTATGACATTTCTTTTTAGTTAAATGAAACGGCCCTTTAAATAGCTTTACACAGTTTTATAGTCAAGACCATCTAAGCAAAGACCAAGACCAGCCGCCACATGACAATAAAATGTGAAATATTAGCAAAAGTGCTAATCAAATTGGTCTGAAAGATCCACATTCCCATAAAACAAATCAATTTAACCAATATTATCAATTCACACTCTTTGTTCTACTTTGCTCTGTGCTACAATCCATGGAAGTCTCATGCCAACCCTCAAAGTTAACGCCCTGGGCGGTTGCCCATATTGCTCATATCAGAAACCACCATTGTCTGCACTATTAAACATAGCAATTAAGGCAATGCACTAGTGGTAAACAACGCTCCATCATGAACACAGACCAAGGAGCAACAAGCAGAAATAACCAAACACTGTGACAGTTCTCACTTTTTCTCCTGCTGCATGAAGCCAGGCAGCACAGAACTATCACAGAGCAATGAGCATGCTCTGTGTGCTCTGGTTTTATTGATTCACCAATTAAATTAATATCAATGTATACAATCAATTAAAATAATGACAGCTACTGCAGCTGTTTCGTACCTATCCGGTGCAAGATGATCTTGGGTATCCGGGTAAAATCCATCAGTCTGCGCTGATCGTCCATCTCTTCCTCCATCTTAACGTTGATTTCTTTCCACTCTGTGAATGTTTCTTCAGCAGGAGTTTCCTGCTGCTTGATAAACTCTCTCTGAGGCTGAACTGAAGACATTTTTACATTAAACACAGAATATTTAACTAAACTGCAAAACAGTCATCAAGAGGAAAAGTAAAACCAGACATTTGCTCTGTTTTTATTTTTCACGTGTTTCACTGTTGCTGTGCTGAAGAAACTGGAAGTGATTATTAGTTTGGCTTTAAATTTTCTGCTGAGTCTCTTCTTTTAAAGTCCTGGAGGGCTGATGCCCTGAAACCTTTAGCTGAGCCTCTGCTGCACCACCTGAATAGAGTAATTAGGTCATTAAGGCTCTGCAGATCTGATCCACACAAGGAGGAGGTAATTATGGTGATTTCATTGCAGTGTTTTGTACCTGTGGCTCATCTAACACTGCAGGTCACCTTGAGGACTGGAGTTTGACTCCTGTGGTTTAGTCAGAACTCCTGCTGAAGAAACATCCACAGAGTGGAAATGAATCAACGTTAAGATGGAGGAAGAGATGAACGATCAGCTCAGATCAGTCTGGAAAAACACTGATGATGACAATAACTGTTTGATTACCTTGGTAACTAAGAGTGATAGCAAATTAGAGTAAATTCTTTCTGATTCATTTCCTTTTTTTCCATTACTATTCATTCAGTTCCTCAGTTGACCCGAGTGAAACAGTATAATTTTTTTCAAGTCATTTTAATTAATTATTAAGTTTTATGTTTTTTTTAAACGCATTTACTAACGTTTTTTTAAAATATATGTAAAATGTTTATATTAAACTTTCAATGTATAATAAAAACATTATAAATCAGAAATGTGACACAGAAGCCCCTTTATGCTGCCACCTACTGACAAGAACCTGGTACTACACCTACAAAGAGCTATTTTTCTACGGTCTGTGCGACTGAATTCATTTCAATGGATTTCATATGCAGGAGTATGTTTAAACAGTCATGTTCAATAACATGGAATGAGACCAACAACAAAAAAAGTTGTATTTTATAAATGTGTGTTTGAAGTCAGTTATCTATTGTGAGACGTTTTTTTAATTTGATTTCAAATGTTCAAGTTGAATACATTACTCTAAACCACATGTGGCTTCATACTGTTTAACTTTAAAAATGAATCAGAACCTACAAACTAAAACCTCATGTGTCGATATATAACTGTACGTGCTTTGTTCTAATTAACAGATCTAATCATGCTCAATAAATTAAAATATGAAAGAAAATGTGGTATATTAAAGCGGAACTTTTGAATCGTTCACAGTTTCTTCAGTACAGTTCCAGTGAAACACGGGGAACATTTCTGAATATATTTTTTATTTAATAAATCACCTTAAGAAAACGAAATTGGTAGAAAGAATATTTTATTTATAATAATAATAATAATAATATAATAATAATAATAATAATAATAATAATAATAATAATAATAATAATAATTTGGGTGTGGGAGAATATTTATGTAGCATCCCGTTTCACACTCCATTCCAGTAGATGGCGGTAATTCCCATCAATAAGTTTCTTGCCAACCGCCATGAAAAAAAAAGAAGAGAAGAAGAAGAAGAAGAAGAAGAAGAGAAGAAGAAGAGAAGAAGAAGAGGAGAAGAAGAAGAAGATTTTTTTGATTTTTACCAAAACATTTATTTACAATATAATAAAACAATTTCCTTTTTTTGTTGTTTTACAATAATCCTATGTCATACATTACAAAAACAAATACATTATAATAAAACATCAGTATAAATTAGTTCATTATTTTCTGAAATGATGCACACACTTTGTCACATCCCCATAACTCTAAAAACCCCTGCACATTCCCAGTGGCTCTGTGGAAAGCAAACTCCAACTTCAGCCCTCGCCTTGATGTTTACCTTCCACAGAGCCACAACATCAACTTGAGGTCCATCCTGCATCTTGTCTCTTCGAGTTATATATATAGCTAATTTGCCTCGGCTAATAAATAATTTAAAAGCCTTGACTTAAAACTAGTCGCTTTACTATGACGTACTCCGTTATAAATAGTGCATCGGTAAAAATCATTTTAAAAAGACTAAAAACAGTCGATAAAAAACTAAAAAGACTATCAAACGTGTGCAATCTATAAAACATGAAAAACACTCTCTGACAACCTACAAAATGTACACTCATTTATAAAACCAGGACTAATCACCGATAAAAACGCGTTGGTGGCTATAGCGCCATGGAGTATCCTCCACTGGAGTCGCCAATCTTTTTTCTAATCGGCGGTTTGTACATTGTCCTCCAGTGGATTGGTTGTCCTTTCAGTCTTTCAACCCACACGCTGACGTCCCTCTTTCGAAGCGTTCTCTTGTTTAGAATTTTCACACAGTTTTTATATAAAGTCTTTGGTGCCACTTTGCAAATCCATTTCTGAGTCCATGGTCTTTAGCAGAGGACCGCTGTCCTCTTCAAAGCTTGGACTCAGAAGAACCTTAGGAAAAGGATCTGTTTCTTTTGGAAGGCATTCTCCATCCTTGTATGCCTGCAATAAACTCTTCTCTTTTCCAGTCAATCTTTCTCTTATCTCATCAGGACACGTTCCATCATTCTTGTAGACCTTACTTTCAGTGCGGCAGCGACCTTCTGGGCATCGCCAAAGTCTGCTCCTGACGCTCGAATCAGCCTCTTTAAGGTCACCATTCCGGCTCTAGACAGCGTCTCTGTTAGCCCCAGGAACGTGTCCTCTTCAACATCCAGTCTTGCTCCGTACACCAAGGGTTCTTCTAATAGCCAATGCAGAGAATCAGTCATTTCCGCTCTACGCAATCTAAAAAGAGCACATGATTTAAAAACGCTCTGATAAAATTGCGGAGTTCCTTTAAACCTTAGAAGACTAAAATTTGTTAAAAACAGAGCAGCATCCAATCCCAAGGAATTCACGCGTCTTAGAATGCAACTGGCTACATCCTTCCACACAGGAGATCCTATCAGGTACTTTTGTAAAAACTGTATCCTAAACACAGTGACTCTACTGGCCAGGTGGACAAGGCCCTGGCCCCCCTCTTCTCTGGATAAAAACAGCACCGACTGTGGCACCCAGTGACGATTGTTCCAGAAAAAATTAACCATTTCCGTCTGTATTCTTGCCAGCAGCCCTGATGGTGGATCTAGTACAATGAGCTTGTGCCAGAGTTGTGATGCGACCAGATTATTAAGCACTAACACTCTTCCTCTGTACGACATTTTTTCATGCAACCATTTCCAGTTCGCAAGTTTGTTTGATATTTTTTGTTCTAGGTTTTCCCAGTTTTTTTCAACAAAACCTTTTCTCGCCTAAATACACGCCTAGATATTTTAGGCCATCTTTTCTCCAGGTCATGCCTTTGGGGAGAGCCGGAGTCCGTCGGGCCACTCGCCAACAGCCAGGGCTTCACTTTTTCCCCAATTTACTTTGGCGGCAGACAGCATGGAGAACTTTCTTATGATTTCTGTTAAAACGCTGACGTCTCTTTGATCTTTAATAAAAACCACGAGATCGTCAGCATAGGCAGATAAAACCAATTTGTCTTTAAAACCGGGTAAAACCAAGCCGTGAATGTCTGATCGCATCTTCTTTAAAAGGGGTTCCAGGGAGAGTGCATAGAGCATTCCCGAGAGCGCGCAGCCCTGTCGAACGCCTCTACACACTCTAAAAGGAGCACACAGGCTGCCATTGATCTTCAGCACACTCTCAATGTCACCGTACAACACCTGGATCTTGGCGATAAGACCCTCGCTGAACCCAAACCTCCTCATTACTTTCCAGAGGAAGTCGTTCAACGCGGTCAAAAGCCTTTTCTGATCTAATGAAATCAAGCCTGTCTGTAGACCCAATGAACCGGAGACTTCCAAAATATCCCGAATTAGGTAGACATTGTCCACCATGGACCTGCCGGGGACGCAATAGGTCTGATCCCGGTGGATGACCTGCTCCATGGCTTTCCCTAGCCTAGTGGCCAGGGCCTTGGAGAGGATTTTATAATCTGTACAAAGGAGGGACACGGGGCGCCAGTTCTTAATCTCTTGCAAGTTTCCCTTCTTAGGCAGCAGGGTGATAACTGCCCTGCGGCAAGACAAGGGGAGCGAACCGGTAGACAGACTCTCGTTGAATACGTCGAGCACGTCTTGGGCCAGAAGCTCCCAATAGGCCTTGTAGAACTCGACCGTGAGCCCGTCAACGCCTGGAGACTTCCGACCCTTCATGCCAAGGAGGGCTGTGTGTAGTTCCTGCAGGCTCAGAGGCCGTTCCAACTCCAGGTTGGTCTCCGCAGAGACCTGAGGTAGTTCCTCACAGAACTCCTCCAACAGTTCGTCGTTCTCTCTGTGTTCGCTGCGGAACAGAGAACAGTAAAATTCCACAGCCCTCCTCCTATCTGCCCCGGTTCGCTCAAATGCTGCCCCGTGTCCGACAGCAAGGAGTGGATCATTTTCCTCTGTCCGTGTTTCCTCTCCAGGCTGAAGAAAAGCCAGAGGGAGCATCCATCTCTGTGATGTCCTGTATCCGGGATCTGACCAATGCGCCTTGGACTTTATTTTCCAGCAGGTTTGCTAAAGTTAGCTTTTTAGATTTGAGAGCTTCAAAATACTCTCGATTTCCTGTGGAGTCACTAAGTCGTTCTAATTCCACTATACTCATCTCCAGATCTCTGATAGATCCGGCAATGTCACGAGTGACATTGACAGTGTGCTGTTGCTCAGCAGTTTTATTTGAACCTTTCCATAGTCCCACCACTGTCTAAGAGAGCTAAAATCAGCTTTCCTTTCCCTAAAACCAGTCCAAAATAAGTTAAAACCTCTTTAAAGCTCTGATCATAAGTTAAAGCAGAATTAAAATGCCAGTACGCGCTTCTAGTAAAATGTTTCTGATAAAACACTACCTAAAAGCAACGAATGGTCTGTAAAAGCCACTGGTAAAATCTGGCATGTTTTAAACACGTTAAAATGGTGTTTAAAACAATAAAAACGATCTAAACGAGCTAAAGAGATTTTACTATCAACAATGTGGGACCATGTATACTGCCTGGCGCCTGCATGCATCCTCCTCCATACGTCCACCAGGCCATGAGACGAGACCAGTTGCTTCAAGACCCGTTGGGCCGCCGGATGTGGCTCTGCGTGATTGCGATCTAAAAACTCGTTCTCAGTACAATTAAAATCCCCACCTATAAAAACATAATTCTCGGTCCCGCAATCACCCAGCCTCTCCCAATTTTCTCATAAAAACATTCTTCTCTGCATTGGCTATCGGAGCATAGATATTAATAAAAACATGTTTAAACAATCAAATTTTGTCTTTACTAAAAGACATCTCCCTTGCACCACATGTTCAATTTCTATAGAAAGTGGGGTGAAAGCTTTTGAAAAAAGAAACCCACCCCTGCACTCTTGGAGGTGCCATGACTTAAAATCCCTCTCCTCCCACTCCTTGCCCCAGTCTGTTTCTATTGTACAATCACTATGTGTCTCCTGTAGATAGACGATATCAATTTTCTTTTGTTTCATCATCTGATAAATCAATGCCGTTTTTCAGCCTCCCTCCCCCCATTTAGATTCAAGGATGCTATTTTAAATGAATCCATCTTAGGTAAAAGGCTAAAACAAAACACACCGAAACATTAAAATAGATATTAAAAAACTACTGTACATCATAAAAATTGTTTTCTGGCTTTAGACATTATTTTCTTTAACCTAAAAATTTCTGTGTCTGTGAAACCTGAGTCCTCTTTATGTCTAATGTGATGCCTTGCGGAAAAATAGAAAAGTCTTAAATTTGGGAAATAGCTCTCAAGTTTTATCCCTCTGAGACCTTTGTTTTTTAAAAAGGTTCTAAATGTTTCAACCGGGTATATCGGTTCTCTACTCGTCTGAGATACAGAAGCTTCACTGGTATCTGAGAAATAACTCTCTTCATCACTGCTGTCCGATACCTCCCTCTTCTCCACAACCGACTTACTTTCCTTCTTACTGGCCTGCACAGCAGCCACCACATTTTTCCTCTTGCTGCGCCGTTTCACCGGGACACAAGCTTCCAGCTCCATTTCCTCCTCCACCTCACCTGTTTCTCCCTCCACTCCAGCCACTATAAACGACTCCACACTGTCTTTTCTTTGTACCTGTTTCTCCCCCTGAACCTCTCCCCCCTCGCTCTGATCTCCACACACTCGATGCTCCTCATCACCCCTCACATCCTCCTGTTCTTTCTGCACACCATCACTCTCCTTCCCTACACTTCCACCCACACCACCATTCAGCCCATCACCCACACCACCGTGCTCTCATCCTCTCCTATACTCGCACCATTACCACCGTCCTCCACCGCCTCTTTAACAATGTTTCCTGTCACATCCTCCTCTACCACCGCTGGTTCCCCCGCAGCGGCAGTCGCGCCAGCAGCAGCAGCGGCAGCAGCGGCGGGTTCTCCCGCCGCAACATTAGCAGTGTCTCCCTCCACAACATCCTCCTCACTATTTGTTTTTTTACCCTGCTCAGCGGCAACAGGCTGCTGCTTTTCCGAGTCCGGCTTGGCCAGTTCTGCCTTATCAGGGCACATCTTTATGATGTGGCCCTCCTGCCCACAACCAAAACATTTCATCTGCCCTGATGTGGCAAACAAAACATAGTCAAAATCATCCACTCTAACGTGGAAACGCAAATTCATTTCCTCATCCTTTCTGTTCAGTATCATAAATAACTGTCTACGGTGAGAAACAACATGTTTCAATAGCGGTGATTTACACCCGGAAAGGACTTTTTTCACCGGCGACACCACCTTTCCGTGTCTCGACAGTTCTTTAATCAAAAATTCATCACTGATGAAAGGAGGTACGTTTGACAACATTATCTTAGTGGATGGTAACGTGAGCGGTGAAACTTGTAAAAACAACCCATTCACCGAAACACCCTTTTCCACCACCTGCTGTGCATGTTCCACCTTCTCCACAAACAACACCACTGCCCCATTCATACGTGCAGCCGACTTTATATTCCCGTGCCCAATGATCTCACCCACCGCCAAACAAACTTCCTCCACGCTGCACGGAGAACCAGCACCCACCTTGATGCCGTTCTTCCGTGTCAGCGTGGAAAAAGACCCACCAACACCCACCATTGTTGCCGTCAGACGCCGGCAAGCCAGGCACGCCCGACGGCCACACCCCAAACAAACGAACAAAAACCCCTTAAAACGTGATAAAACTAAACACAAGAAAAAACAATTAAACAAGTAAACCAAACACCCAGAAAAACAGTAAGAAAAAGATAAAGAAAAGATATTCAAGCACTCTTGCTTTCACTCTTCCTCCGCTCCTCCTCACACACCCTCCTCTCACTCGAAGAAGAAGAAGAAGAAGAAGAAGAAGAAGAAGAAGAAGAAAGAAGAAGAAGAAGAAGAAGGCGGGGAAGATGAAAACAGAGCACGCGGGCTCGCTTTAGCTTTTCCTTTGTTAGACGGTTATTTGGAGAAGAGTTTGAGGTTTAGCTAATTTTTTCCGTGTTTTCAGTGAAAATGTCTTCAGTTCAGCCTCAGAGAGTTTATCAAGCAGCAGGAAACTCCTGCTGAAGAAACATTCACAGAGTGGAAAGAAATCAACGTTAAGATGGAGGAAGAGATGGACGATCAGCGCAGACTGATGGATTTTACCCGGATACCCAAGATCATCTTGCACCGGATAGGTACGAAACAGCTTCACGGTTTACTGATTAGTGAGGTTAAAGAGAGTTTTTACAGATAAATAATCGTTGTGTTCGTAGACATATTTAAAGAATCTGCTTAAATTAAGTAAAAATAGAAAATCCCTGGAGAAATGTAACCGGGGCCTGCTAAAGTGTGGCCCCAGTTTGGACCCAGCGCTCTGATTCTAACAATTAGCATCAGTGCTAAGCTAAACTGAATTATAGTCAATAGCCTGTGGAAAGTCACAAGCATGTTGACTAATATGGACTTCCTCCATTCAGTTTGTTAAAATTAGTGTATAATCTAAAATGAGCCAAAATGCTAATGTTAGCCTAAATGCTGCTAGTAGCATGTGGGGCATCATTACAATGTGGTCTTACATTGACTTCCTGCATTCAGGGTCCTAAACATGGCTAATAAGTAATAAAAATAGCTAGAAGCTTATTTCAGGGAAAAGTCTGATGCTTGTGCAGCAAAGCAGAGCCCTAACCTGAGAGGAAAAGATCATGCAGGCTAATATTATTGCACTGTCTCTGAGTCGGTTTCTCTTCGCAATATTTATTAACCTATTTGTATGATTTGTTCTGTAAATTGCCATTCATATTATTTCTCAGTCTCTATCACTGAGGGATGAAGAGACTGATGTCTGGTTCTTTAGGTTCTGACGGGTCTGCGGTTCCTCTCCTGACCCACTGTGCACCCTGAATATCGCCGACACAGTTTTTTAATTCCCCTATCAAACTTCTCTGTGATTGTTTAGCCTAGAATGTGCATCTTCCAATGTTATGTTATTTGATGTTATTGTTACAGGTCAGTTTTCTAAACTACAAAGAAATGACTGTTAGGGATGCTCCAATATGAAAAATTGGATTGATATTGATATCTGATAGTAACACTGGTGTTATAGCAGATTTACCAATATTTTATTTTATATACGTTTTTAGTCCGATTACTTGATTAATCATAAGAATAATTAATAGATTACTCAATTACTGAAATAGTTGTTTACAGCAACGCTACTATCCATCCAGTTATCACTAGAAAAAATTTATTGACTTTCTCTTTTATCTTGTCACATCTGCTGAGCTGACAGCGCCTCTTAATGCTCATTTGTACTCAATGCATGTCAGCTATTCTGACAGAATAACGGCTCAAATTTAAGTTAAAGAAGGTCAGTGTTAGACCCGCACAAAGCCCCGCCCTCCACTTTCATTGGGAAATTATTTTATGGTGACCTGACAGGAACTGCAACCAGGTGATAATAATGATCACAAACAATCAAAAGCATATTTAGTAACTGTCTTGTCTGGCTGCTAAGTTTCCATTTTCATAATGTAAACTTAGTAAATGACTTATTAACTAAATTGTGTCTTAAATAAACTCGTTAAATAATTTTATCATTGTACATTTTCACCTTTCATATTTAATCTTCCAAATTGTCCAATATTCATGTCAAATATTTTCCATTGGTTCATTTTGCCATTATTTTCTGCATGTGTGCGATTAACAACAATCACCCACTGCTACCAATTCTGCTGTGAATCCCAGGAAAGTAAAGGCTGAGATTTAGTTGTGCTTTTGAACGTTTGTGTTGAGTGTGTGAGCGGAGCAATGTCTGACAATATCAGCGGGTGAGATTAAAAATTACTTTATGTTTCCCTTTAGGCATTTTATGTCACTCTTTAATGTGATATATATCTGGTGACATATAATGGGTGCACTTCCCCTGCGCCCATTACAGGCACACTGCCTGCATCACCACCAGCGTTGGTCCACAATCTCCCAGTCGGATTGCGACACCGTGTGTGTGGTCAGGTACATGTCCAAAAGTCAGGTGACCTGAACATCTGACTCCTCCTCCATGTAGGCGTCTTCTTCCTCTCTCTACATGGAGGAAGAAGATTTTATGTAATATTTGTCAGGAAGCTACTAGATTAAGCTATTGCCATCTTATTTGCTCACCTGGAGATCCTTTATATCATATTTTGACTCAAGAATAGTTCCAGTCTGGTCATTAGAATGGAGCTATGACCAGAATGAAACTAGTTCTGGTCATAGTTCCATTCTAGAACATCCAATGTTCTAGAACATAGAACGTTAACTTCTTAGTTGAGTTAATGTTCATTCTTGTAAGATTGTAATTTTAGAATAACCTAAGAAAATCCTGTTTCTATACATGAAGGCATCAAAGTGGATTTCTTGTTTGATTGACATTTAAAAAACTTTTTTTTTTTGTCTATTTCCCAGATCTTCCACAATGTTGTGTGTGTGAAGAAGAGGAGATTCTCAATGACACAAAACCACAGAGGAACCAACTCATCTCTCATGGCTCTGCAGAAACTGAGAACCAGGATCAGGAAGGAAGCAATTCTGAAGACCCAGGAAAAAAGAGAAAGGAAGAACAGAAACCAAAGGAGAGATATGAGAAAACCAAACAGCAGAAAGACAGAACTGATGCTGAGAAACAAAAACCGCAGAAGAAAACTCATAGAGGGCAAAAAATATATTCTTGTAAAATTTCTGATAGAACCTTTTCTCTAAACAGTAATTTGAAGAGACACATGAGAACTCACACAGGAGTAAAACCTTTCACTTGTTCAACCTGTGGGAAAAGTTACAGTCAAAAACATGGTTTAATCTGTCATATGAGAATTCACACAGGTGAGAAGCCTTTCACTTGTTCAACCTGTGGAAAGAGTTTCAGTGGCAGAGGGACTTTAACTCGGCATATGAGAATTCATACAGGTGAGAAGCCTTTCTCATGTTGGACCTGTGGAAAGAGTTACAGACAAAAAACGATTTTAACTTGGCATATGAGAATTCACACAGGTGAGAAGCCTTTCACTTGTGGGACCTGTGGAAAGGGTTTCAGTGTAAAAACGAATTTAACTAGGCATATGAGAATTCACACAGGTGAGAGGCCTTTCACTTGTTCAACCTGTGGAAAGAGTTTCAGTGACAGAGGGACTTTAACTAAACATATGAGAATTCACACAGGTGAGAAGCCTTTCACTTGTTCAACCTGTGGAAAGAGTTTCAGTGACAGAGGGACTTTAACTAAACATATGAGAATTCACACAGGTGAGAAGCCTTTCTGGTGTGAGACGTGTGGAAAGAGTTTCAGTGACAGAGAGACTTTAACTCAGCATATGAGAATTCACACAGGTGAGAAGCCTTTCACTTGTAGGTCCTGTGGAAAGAGTTTCAGTGAAGGAGGGACTTTAACTCAGCATATGAGAATTCATACAGGTGAGAAGCCTTTCTCATGTGGGACCTGTGGACAGTTTCAGGATGAAACAACAATTACTTAAACACATAAAGATTCATATGGATGCGAAACAGTGACGTGCGGTGAGGCTTTACGATGTATAAATACAGACACCATGTATGTTATTGGTTACTCAGAAATTTTGCTCATGCATACAACGCTGGAGGGCAGAAAGACCGTTCTTTTACACGTCATCCATAGCTGTAGTAACCAGGTGAAACTTAGAAATGTAGGTATTGTTTCGTGTTATGATCCACAGCAAAGGGAGAAACCTAAACCACTTTCTCACTCTGCATCACCCAAGCTACATGCAGACTCGTTGCAATAGCAACTGATAACAATGCCATGTTTTAGGATTTAACATAAAAAAAGAAAGAATTTTGGTCACTGAATAGAACATTGAGTTTTTTGCAGTAGTTTGTTTTAGTCTTAGTGTTTTATTAATAAATCATTGCTGTGGTAGATTAGCTAACATTTCTACTTTACTGAATTCTTTAGACATACAGACTGTGGCCCACAAAATGCACATTTCATTAAAAAACTAAACAAAAACATGTTTTTTTTCCCCATCTTACCTTTACTTATAAATTAAATCCATGCCAATTCTGCA